TTTCCAGATGGATATGCGGAGCAAATCCATCTGGCGGAGTCAGGTTAACAATAGCTGACCTTCTTTGCATGATTTCAAGCCTCCAAAACTTTAAATAAACACAAAAAACAACATCTGAGAGTTTTAGATTGTTGATCAGAATACTGGTTTACATAATTAATAACAAAAAATGTATTTCTAAATAAAACAAACTAAAACAAAGTACCCCAATAAGCTTGATGGCCCAGGTACCCAGAGGTGAGTAGTTATTAGTTATATCAAATTAACACAAAAATAAAAAAAAGACAACTTTTAGGACAACTTTACTGTAATTTTTACTTTCAGTTTAGTAATACTCTTGGGAGCAATTTGCTTCATAGGTACTTTGTGTGATTACTCTACCAAGCTAGAAGGCAGTGAGGAGTGTAGAGAGCTGTGCTGCAGTGTTTGTGTCTCCAAGCTGAAACACCAGTGGACCCAGTTCACAGCAGAACTGACAGCATGTACGCACGGCTCAGCGTAGGCTCTCCGGCTCTCCGGCCCTCTATGACCTCATTTTCTTTGTGCTCCTGAAACACCTCTGCCCTGTTCAGACAGATTCTATCATTTCTATCAGAGCAGTCGTCCTGAGCTCTCTGGAGGACGGAGCCTTTAAACTGATGTGTCTCATTTCCGGTCTACTGGCGGTACCAATTACCCTCTAGAAACACTTTGAGGTTATCTCTACAACATTTCTGACTCTTTTGTTTTTTCCTTTACAACAGGGTCACGCTTTTCTTTAATTCCTCGCTTTTTCCCCTGAATGTTCATTGGTTCATTGTTCCTCCCATCGAACCTCTCCTATTACCACCTATTTGATCATTGATATTATCTTGTCTTTGGATGTAGCAACATCTGCACTCGTCTGTTAGTAGAATGCAGCACTGACATCAATCTAAACTAAAGAAGAAGAAATTAAATCTAAGTTAGTCAATTTTTTTTTAAATAACATAATTTTTTCTTGAATTAAGCAGGCAAGTGATACACTTTGCCAATGGAATAAGGCAATTATACTGTAATTTAAAACAAGAAAACAAAAACTGCAGTCTCTTATAAGTATTTTATACTTATTTTAAAGGCATACTATGCAACATTTTTCAGTTAATTAATGTGTTCCATAACGTTTTGGATGATTAAATGAGTCATTTCAGGTCGAACAAAGGTTTTCTCGGCCGCCCTGGTGGTCTGTAGGGGAAATACCGTACTTGCAATTGCAGGAGCCCTCGGCCCGCACCCACAGGCTCAGAAGTCCTTTTCGGCGAGAACTGCTACACGCCCGAAGTGAA